GTAGATAAACCTGCTAAGCCACAGTTTGGACAACAACAATTCTTTTATACAACGAACGAGCCACATTATTCTCAGGAGAACTATGACAACTATTATAATCAAGGTGAGTTTTATAATACTCAATACGCTGAACAGGAGTATACGGAAGTACCTTCAGACGAACAGAGCCAGGATTTTCTCGAGGACAGTGGACTGGAAGATCACAGCTGAATACCGTTGAACTAAATACTCACGATAAAAGTCGCTTGCCTTATATTGACCTGCCTGAATACCGAGGTAAATTTTTATTAGACACGGGGGCTTCAAACTGTATGATTTCCATTAACGCTATACGAGGAACTATCTTTGAACAATATGTTGAATACGAACCATTTCTAGTGAGAACTGCACACGCTATTACTAAAAACGAGTACGATGCGTACTTGCCCCTACCCCCACAATTTAATAACGATAAATTCCATAAGTTTTTGGTGTTCGACGTCGATCCTAAGTTTATCGGAATAATAGGCATAGACTTATTAAAAGAACTTGACTGTAGCATAGACTTAAAAAACAAGGTACTTACATCTCCCACCTGTAAGATACCAATCTGTATAGATCACCCAGTTAAAAAGCTTAAGATTGAACCCAAATGCGAACAAATTATTACCGTAAAAACAAATTATGTCGATGGTCAATATGTTTGTGATAAATACTGTTGGACTAAAGATCTTCAATCACCAGCAGCGGTAATCACAGTTAAAAACGGCACGTTTAAAACCTCTGTTATTAATTACAGCGACGAAAAAAAAATTAATAATGAATAACCGCCCTTTGTTACTAGAACCCATACCACAAGGTTTTGAAAAAGAAACCCCGGGTAAGTCACGCTCAAGTTACCTGTGATAAAAATAGCTTGGTCGTAGTGCGGTAGAATGACAATAAAGCTGTGACGTCGATAAGTTCCTTCATAACCAGTGGATACAATAAAAAGGTACTGCAAGGACTCTAAAACTACGATGTACAATGTCCGAAAATAGTCAAAGAATACAATAAGCATAAGGGAGGTGTTGACTTAGCCGATATTAGCGTTACCCTTCGAACGCGAGGCACATTCATACAGACGTTATTTCGTTCAAAACTTATTTTGAACATCCGCATACTAGCGCGCTTGTCCGCGCGCTTTAGTTATTTAGTAAATAACGTCCATTGTACGTACAAAATGTCGCTTTCTATGCATAAAGATGAGAATGATCCAGTTATTTGTATTCCCAAAAACATACAGCACAAACATAAAAAAGTAAGTGGGTACCTAGCTACCTATTCATAACAGGAAAGTTAATTCAGTCTTGGTGTCTGTCACTTATGATCTGTTTGTATTTTTTTATTATCTTTGCAATTTAGCGAACTGTTTTGCAATTATCATACAATTTGGAACCATGTTTGACACGATGGAAATAGTTGGCAGCATATTAAAAAAAATACTAGTTCACTTGCGTTCAATTGATTGTTGCACCAAAATATTTTTGATACTTGATGTGATTTGATTTGATGTGTCCCAAAATATTCCTAATGTAAAAGTGTATTAAGAGATAGATACACATTTATAACTTGATTATTTTTAAATTTCAAGTGTATGATGCTTGGGTAAGGGTGTTACCAGACCAATCGATCGATCGTCGATCGACGGTATCGATCGATGGTAGAATGGAATAGTCGACGTCGATCGATAGTTTCCACCAAACCAATCGATCGATCGTCGATCGACGGTATCGATCGATGGTAGAATGGAATAGTCGACGTCGATCGATAGTTTCCACCAAACCAATCGATCGATCGTCGATCGACGGTATCGATCGATGGTAGAATGGAATAGTCGACGTCGATCGATAGTTTCCACTAGACCAATCGATCGATCGTCGATCGACGGCATCGATCGATGGTAGAATGGAATATAATGCTTGATCAAACGCGCCGCGCTCCGACTGTTCCCCCCCCGCCCGCGCGCCGCGCTTCCTACCTGGCTTGTTTGTGTTGTGTTCAGTTGTGTGAAGCTCGCGGTTGTTTCGTGACGCGCATGGCAAAATGGCGGCGACCGCGTGGACGAATGAAAGAACTTTGGAATTTATTGAGCAATACAAAAACAAACCAGTACTATGGGACATTATTCACAATGATTACCGTAATAAAATAAAACGTCATGATGCACTGCTCGAAATAGCCAACTCATTTGAAATTACTAAGGAGGAAGTGGAAAAGAAGATAAAAAATTTACAAACAACATTTTCGAAAGAAAATAAAAAAGTGAAAGATAGTTTAAGAAGCGGTGCCGGACGAGACGAAATATACGTTTCTAAATGGTATGCAATTCAAGCTATGATGTTCATACAAGACAGAAATCGCCCACGATCTACTGTGTCTACAGAGGATCGTCCTCGTTCGAGCATGTCAAGTGATGTAAGTACCTACATACATATTTATATTTTTTACGGCAAATATGTTTAAGTTTAATCTGCAATTAAACAATTAGCTATACTGAACTTTTGTAGATCTTACAAAATAAAAGTATAATATTAAGCACATTAAAACATTTTCCAGTATACTCGTTTACACCAATAGATCGACTAAATTAACAGTTGCAAAAGGTGTTTTTTCCAATTGTCAACTATTGGTGTAAACGTGTTGTAATTAAAATAATAATACAATTTTACAAGTACATACTTATGACCTTTATTGATACAGATTACACAGTAGCTGTCACTTGTGTACAGAGTATTAGTCCAAAACAAAACTAGAAATGACTTATTTAAAAAATTTTACCTTTCAATAAAAGTGAAATTCACAACTAATAATCACGATAAAAAAAAAATTGCAACTAAAATTATCACAGGGAGCTACAGCACCCAGAGTAAGATTCCAAGGTTAACAATACTTGTATTGCCATGCAATCATACCATCGTTAGAACAAAAATATTCAGCGAACTCTTCTCTCACTAGTTCAGCTGGAGTTGGTATGCTGTAGAATAGTACAGATGACTGAATTTCTGGCGGCTGTGTTATTTCGGAATCTGCACTCTGATTTATGTTACTTGAATAACGCAACTGTAAAGACCTATAACTCTCACAATTTCTTCTTAAATAGTTGTGAAGATAAGTCGTAGCTAACACTATGTTTTCCACATTTTTCGGCTGAAGATGAAAAGGCCTTCGAAGACAGCGAAATACTGCACTTAAAATGCCGAACGTGCTTTCTACCATACGGCGAGCCCTACTCAACCTATAATTAAAAATTCGCACCTTTGATCCTTTTCGCCCTAATTCGGGAAACGGCTTCATTAAATTTTCAGAAAGAGGAAAGGCATTGTCACCTATAAAAACATATGGTGTAAGACAACTTCTTCCAGGCAATTCACTTTCTTTTGGGATTCCTCGTAGATTCATGGAATTCAAAATAGTATTTCCAAACACACCACCGTCAGAAATACGACCTTGGCATCCAATATCGCAGTACATAAAATTGTAATTCGCATCCACTACAGCCATTAGGACAATACTGTGAACTCCCTTGTAGTTAAAGTATGTACTCCCACTGTTAGTTGGAGCTCGCATAATTATATGCTTCCCATCTATTGCACCCAGGCAGTGGGGAAAATTCCACAGCAGGTCAAAATCTTTTGCAATGTTGAGCCATCCTTCTTCCGTGTTTGGCATCTGTAAAATAAATATATACAACGTAAATATATTGAATATGAGCTATCAGTCAGTTCATATATTTTTTAAATTATACCTATTTAAAATATATGTATATAATTTTGTTTCAGATAAATTCACAAGCATCTGAGTCAGGGATGGACAGTTCCGTTGATAGTGAAGGTAGTCGTAAAAGGCGCCTCAATCCAAATGATGCCGCAATAGAAAAAACGTTGGAGATGGTTGATTCTTTGATTCGCAATAAAAGAGATGTTGATGAGTATACATTGTTTGGAGAACAAATAGCATTTAAATTGAGGACACTAAAAACGGACTACGCCCGTATTACCGTACAGCATCATATAAATAACCTAATTTACGAAGCTCAACTTGGCAAATATGACCATCCACAAACTCAAAATCAAGGCTACTACACCACGCAGTATTCTACAAATGCACAATCTTCGAATCAATCCAACCTTCCACCCACTTCTCAATACGCAAGAGATTTAACTGGATATAGCTTTTCGCTGGATAATATCAATCTTCCATCCACAAGTGAAAATAGTATAACAGTAGAGTCGTTGGATAATTTAGAAGATGTCTCATCTGAATTGCAAGAAAATTAAACGATATGTTTATATGATTACTGTTTCTCTGAAAAAATTAGTCTACCGGAAAGGTCCACCTGTGCAGGTATGCCTGCGCAGGTAGACCGGAATGTGTGTGGGAATAGACCTGTGCAGTTTTTTGAACCTGCGCAGGCAACCGGCGCAAGATCGAAAATCGATTCTTTCGAGTGACACCGTACGGTGTACCTGTGCGTGTGTGCGTGTACTCCGGTCGCCTGCGCAGGTCGCGTCAGTTGTTTTTTAGTGTTTCTTTCAAACGGGCGTCTCATCGCTCGCATCGTATTGCCAGAAAATGGCGCCACCAGATTCAACTAAAAAAATCCTTGAAGATTTTATTGAAATTTATAGAAGTAATCCATGTCTATGGCAAATTAAAAACAAAGATTACCATAATCGAGACAAAAAAGAAGCTGCTTATAAATTACTCATAGAAAAATTGAGAATAATTGAGCCAGATGCGAACAAAGATGTAGTTGTGAAAAAGATCAATAACCTAAGAAGCAATGTTAGAAAGGAAACGAAGAAATATGAGCAATCTTTAAAGTCTGGGGCATCTGCTGATGATGTGTATCGTATTAAACTGTGGTACTACGATTTGTTCAATTTCATTCATGATCAATGCACTCCAAGGGAATCTTCATCCAACTTAGATAGTGATGACGAAAATAGTTGTGAGGTAAGTAAAATATTTCATAGTTTGTAGTATTTTTTTTTATTAAGTAATATAATAATAACATAATTATTTACAACTATAACTATTTAGAACTATGTACCTACTCTGCCCGTTCAGCCTTAGGTATTATTTAATTTACATGATCATTTTGCCATGGTACCCTTCCCTCCTGATTGAAATAATTCATAAAATTGTTTCGGACTATCTTCGCGTTGTTCAAAGTATTTCCTGGGTTTCTTCTTTCCAAGTTTACCATGGTGCTATTTTGTGTATTGTATCCTTCAGATATTATAGTCCCGTTTTCAGAGTTTTCTCGATAAAAACATTTTTGAGGTGCATAAGACTTTTTTGAGTGTTCAATTAAAAAGTTATGTAATACACAAGATGCTTTCACTACTTTATCGATATTTTCGGGTTCTAAATTTATATGAGTATAAAATATCCGAAATCGTGATGCCATTATCCCGAAAGCGTTTTCAACAGTCCGTCTCGCGCGAGATAATCTGTAATTCAGGATTCTTCTTTCTTGCGATGTTAAATCTGCCTGTCGAAACGGTTTTATCATATCGGGGCGTAATGGGAACGCGTCATCTGCCACAAATACATATGGTAAATTTCGGTTACTTCCTGTTAACAATTCACTGCTTGGAATATGTAAATCACTATTTTCTAATTTTTCAAAAAATTTAGTGTTTTGTAGAACCCCTCCATCGGATATTCTGCCATTCATGCCAACGTCTATATAAATAAATTGGTATTTTGCATTAACAATTGCCATAAGAACCACACTATGTTGCCCTTTATAATTATAAAAATACGATCCACTATTAGCCGGTGGAACAATCGATATGTGCTTTCCATCTATTGCACCAAGACAATGAGGAAAGTTCCATCGTTCTTCATACATCTTTGCTATTTCTTTCCACTCTTCTTCAGATTTAGGAAACTGTAATATAAAAATAATAGGTTTTTATCATAAATACTTGCAAAAGTAGTTATTATTGATGTGAAATATCTATAGCGTATGCACACAAAAATGTATCAATTTTTTTTGTTTTTAGAAAGACAACACTGAAGACTCTTTAAATGCCGCTGAAGAATATTCATCCAACAGCGCATCTACCGACAACGAGGTTCGATCAACATCGTCAAATAATAATTCATCTCGCCCACCAAAACCTTGGAAAACAAAAAGAAAAGATGAAAGCTTAGCAAATGAAGTGTTGGAATCGGTACGAGATCACTTTAAGCGCCCTCGCCCAATTGTAACAGAAGATAGGTGCGATATTATTGGAAAAAACGTGGCGATGAAATTGAAAGCTTTAGATGCGAAACAATTAATAGTCGCAGAAAAACTTATTAATGATTTACTTTTTGAAGCAGAAATAGGAAACCTCACTCCCGAGCACGCCTATATTAACATGAGAGATATTTTGAAACAAAATCAACGAAGCTATGTTCCTGCTCAGCAATATCGACAACATGCATATCAGGCCTCTCCTAATTCCAATAGGGCATATACCCCTGTAAGTTTTGTTTCTTCCGGAAGTCCTAGCCCACCCTGTTTTCTATTTCCCACCAGTCAAAATTCAGAGTATCTTTCTCAATCATTTCAAACTAACCATCTCAACAGTTCCCAAGGCAATCCCTACTCGCCACAAATACGAACAACTACAGTTCCAGAAAATCAGCCCAATGAAACAGAGGTAGTTTTAGATTCGGCAGCGACATTCATTACTAATTTCAATGTTCATAATGAATAACTTGTATGTACGTGACAGTTTTTTACTTTAATGATTAAAATCGTACATATTTTTTTCAATAAATATTATCTCTAATATAACAGTGTTTTAATGACTTACCTTAAAATAATCTCTTCTGAGTACTTTATATAAAGCCTCACATGTTTCAGGAATAATTTTTCCAAGTGCCTGAGGCGAAATAATTGCTGAAAATTTTAGATCCTCATAGCTTCTGCCAGTTGCGAGAAATCTCAATGTGACTGATAATCTTTCGTGCGCAGAAATACTATTTCTCATAACTGTGTCTTCTTTTTTTATCATAGGAGTAACCATTTCAAGTAATTTAAGGTATGTTTTCTCGTCCATTCGAAGATAGTTTTTAAAATCTTCTGGTTCAAATTTCAATTCACTTAATAAATTAACATGACTATATGTTTTTCTTTTCAATAACCAATGCTTACACCACTTTTTTCGCTTCTTTTTCGTATTATTCATCTTCAAAATTAAAGCAAGACCTAGCAATGCCAGCGTGTCTTCGTCCACATTCGATGCCATCGCAAAAAGAACTGAAGACCGCTCCGATACACCGGAACGTACCCATACACGCTACCAATGTTCGGTTGACCTGCGCAGGCATACCTGCACAGGTGGACCTTTCCGGTAGACCGTAGCGTGTATGGCCGGCATTATATATAACTTAACTTACGATTACATGTCCAAGAATACTTACTTTTATGTAATCCCTGAGAGAACATATGAGCGCATTGCACACTTCTGGAATTATACAAGAAATACTTTGTTGTGAAATTTTAAACGTTAGCACTAAACTTTGATATGAATCACCACTGGCTAGAAATCTGAGTGTTATAAGTAACCGATTCTTAGGGGAAATTGACTGTCTGTAATTAGTATCCAATTTTGCAATTAAAGGAGCCACTATATTTAAGAGATTTTCAATATCACTGTTACTCATTCGAAAAGCATCCAAGAAACCGCTATTTAAAATGTCATTTGGATAACATAGGCGATCTTTGGCTTTAAAAAATGGTCGCATCCAGAGTCTTCTGCGTTTGCGTCTCCGTAATAATAGTACGAGCAACATCGTACTTGCCAACAACAACGCGTCCTCTTGTGAATACATTTTGAAAGAAACTGATGGAATATTGCCGGAGTTCATCGATCAACGTCGACCGGTGCCAGTAGTCGAACAGTATCTGTCGATCAATTAAAGTTACCAGACCAGTCGATCAACATCGATCGACGTTGAACGATGCCATCGACCGGCAATCGATCGATTGGTTTGTCGAACAGTATCTGTCGATCAATTAAAGTTACTAGACCAGTCGATCAACTTCGAACGATGGCGTCGATCGACGATCGATCGATTGGTCTGGTAACACCCTAAGGATATCTAATAAAATGGTGATTCCTATTCCTGAGCTCAAAAAAGAACGAGGCTTTAATGGCCACGTTTAGGCAACATTGAAAGAAAAAAAAGTACAATTTTTCTTTAGAAATAAATTCAGATGCATCAAGGACAGGCTGGGGAGCATGCTGTAATGGTAAAGTTGCAAATAGATTTTGGACTTTAAAAGATAAGGAAAACCACATTAACTTCCTTGATCTTTTGGCTGCCTTTCTGGGCTTACAATGTTTTGCCAAAGATTTACACTCTTGTCAGATATTGTTGAGAATAGACAATACAACTGCAATTGCATACATAAATAGGATGTAGGGATGTGAGGGTATACAATTTCCAAAACTTAAAAAGTGGTGGTCATTTTATAAAGGTGAAAACATATAAGTTATCAATACCTAAAGTTCTAGAATTTCTCACAGAAATATCATCACAAGGCGGTTCATATGCTACTCTCAATACTTGCCGTTCAGCATTGTCTCTTATCATAGATACAAGTTTAGGAACGGATGTTCAAATTAAGAGATTTTTTTAAGGAGCCTTTAAACTAAAACCCTCTAGACCCAAATATAATGGGGCAGACAGAACCCACATATGAGATCCATCTGTTGTCCTGAAGTATATTCAAGATTGGTCACCAAAAGCCTTCCAATCTAGAAAAATTAACCAAGAAATTGGTTATTTTGCTAGCTCTTACAACTGTACAACGTATTCAAACATTATCAGTTATTCGATTGAGCAACATAGAGTTTACGGATAATGGTGTAAAAATAGCAATTACTGACCTTTTAAAAACAACAACCCCTGGTAAGAACGAATTGGTAATAAGGCTTCCTTCCTTGGATACCAATCTTGAAATATGCCTTGTATCGGCACTTAGATAGTATATAGACCAGACTAAGGCACTCACAAAAGTTAACACAATTAATACAGACAAGCTACTAGCAAAAAACCATATAGACCAGACTAAGGCACTCAGAAAAGTTAACACAATTAATACAGCCAAGCTACTAGCAAAAAACCATATAACTGTGCCAGGCAACTTTGAAAGAAAAAAAAGGCCTCATGGTCTTCTGGTTGTGGTGAAGAAGATGTATACCGTCCCATTTGGGCATTTTATAATGCCATGGAGTAATTTCTGGGAGATGTATATGAGAGTGATAGTAAAATAAATACTTTAGTAAGTATTAAAATAAATTTAATTCGCAATGTTAAGTTTATGTAAGCATAAAAATATTCACTGTTGTTCAATATTCACTTTCTGCTGATTTGTTCTTGTTTTCTTTTTAATCAATAGTTAGCAAAAACGAAACGTAACTTAAAAAAATTTAACTGTCAATTTGCGGGAATGTTTTCTCTCTCCCTGACAAGATTGCGTCGAGAACACGCATGGGTGTAAGGTAAATAATTTTCGATTATGACTATTTTAATTGAGTTTATGGACGCTATGCATGACAATATTCCTAACAAATATCCCCTTAATTGATTTGTGTAAAAATTATCTCGTTTGAACAACGAATATTCAATTTACGAGCATGCGAAATAATATTTACGTTGTTTGTGATCAACATTGCGAAGTACTCAGAAAAATACCAAGTATTCTGAATGTCGTTCACAATCAACACTGCTCTTATGCTCACCAAGTACTTCATATATTTATGTCGTTTCTAAAAAACACTGCACTGTAACTAAATAAGCTAAAGCTAAAGAATCAAGAGGTTCCCCGAAATTGCTGATATTATGACTCTAAAGAAATATGGAAAAATAAGAAAATTCCTTCACTTCGTAGATAACACTGAAACAAATGACGACCGCTATTTCAAACTGCGACCTGTACTTGAGAGTATTCGTAAGAATTGTTTGCTGCTCGTGCTAGAAGGGTGCTGCTACAGTGTGGATGAAATGATGGTCCCTTATAAGGGAACCTAAGCAGGGAGTAGACGTCAGTATTGACTAAAGAAGCCCAAGAAATGGGGATTTAAGATATTTGTGCGAGCAGGAGTCTCCCGATTAATATATGACTTCATTTCATATGGTGGTGAAGATACATTTAGAGACCGACACCTTACTGACTACGAAAATAGCTTAGGTCTAGGACTAAGAGGCTGTCAAGCAATGTTACTCTCTGACAAAGCGCTTGCAAAGACGGACAGGGGTTCCAGCCAACAGATTGTTTGCAATGAGAAGATTGCTGTGGTCAAGTGGTATGATAATAAAGTGGTCACTTCAGTCAGTTCTTTTGTTCACTCACATCCAATAGAAAAAATTAAGCGATAATGAAAAGAAACCAAATCGAGGGTTGATGTAGATTGTCCATAAATTGTTAAGCAGTATAATGCTCCCATGGGTGGGGTTGATTTGGCTGACATGTTGGTGTCATTATATCGCTCTAACTTTAAAACTAAAAGATGGTATATGGCTTTATTTGCTCAAGCACTTGACATTTGCGTCAATAACGCCTGGCTGATGTATAGGAGGGATTGCCAAAATAACAAGAAACCTAACATTACACATTAACCACTTTAAAATAAATAAAATTCAGCTGGTAACGGAACTTTTCCAAAAATAGAATTCGGCAGAAAAAGTCAAAAAAAAAATGACAGACACTGTCAAGATCAAGACTCCTGTTGCTCCAAGACCGCCAGATTCTGTTCGATATGATAATATGGGCCACTTACCAACATTTGTGTCCCAAGGCACCTGTAAAATAGTCTTTACTTTTTTATGGTTGCGTTTAACCCTTTAATTCGCAACGTTGCACCGATGCAACTATCCAAACAAAAAAATATATTGCAAGAACCACCATTATTTTTTCTTATTTACATAAATTTTAATAATGGATATACTACTGCCATCTATGAAGAAAATATTGAACCAACTCACGCGCATCATTACGTAGTTGTGACCAAAATGGCGTCCCGTCGACACTGCGCTCGTGGACGACCGGTTTTTAATAAATATAAATTGTTTTTATGCATTTATTAACAACTATTACTTGAAATATTATTGTTTAGGAGTGTTTACAATTGTCACATATAACGCCAATGTCAAATTCATATTCTACTATGAAATATAAGCACGTATTTACCGACGTTGCACATTTGCGACACTGCGAAGCTTTAGCATAAATACATTTAATTTCGTACGTTGCACGGGTGCCACGTCGCGCTTTTACTAACACTGAATAATTATTATTATTTTCTATGTATGGTTTTGTGTTTTTTTTTACATTTATGGGTGACTGTTTTGAAAGTTTGCTAATGTACGAGTAAGCTAGATTACTAGATAATGAATGAATATCGCTATTACTAATATGGAAGTTTTTTACTAAAACTTGTGTTAACTTATGTTTGGTGTTGGTGATTGCTGCATGTTTGTTTTTTTTTTTGCTTATTACCAGGAATACCAGGGAGGCTTAAAATGGCAGAGAGCAAGACAAATTTTAGCTTGGTTTCACCAGAAGCGGCCTCGTCTACCGATACCTCTTCGTCTGAAGATGAAGTTATTATTCAAAATATCACCGAACGTCAAGACGATGTATCTTCAGACTTCAGCTCAGAACCAAGGTCCCATCGTTCATCTTTAGAAAACTTGGATCTTATTCTTGATAGTTCAGTGCAAGAAGAAACCTTTTCGACATTATCTGATGAAGATACGGTTCCACTGACTCCAGTAATACGTAGTATTTTTTCTTCGGACATAGGTACCACCCAATCCGCTCCCAAATTTAAATTCAGTTTCGTCAATTTTATCACCACTTAATACTCCATTAAGCCAGAGTTCGCTCAAACAGAAGTGCTAACTGTGAACCAAGAGTTGTAGCTAAAAGAGTAAAAAAGTACAAGAGACCTCTTCTTTGTTTTAAGTGGCAGCGTGGGAAATTCAAATACCCAGCAGAGTTTGATATGCCTGATCTTAACACTAGTAGTACCGCAACAGAATCTCCGTTAGACTATTTTCTTAATTTTTTTTCTGAAGATATAATAATAGAGTGTGGGAGAGCCATGCTTCGGCACGAATGGGCCGGCTCGACCGGAGTGATACCACGGCCTCACAGAAAACCGACGTGAAGCAACGCTTGCATTGTGTTTCGTCGCGTGAGTGAGGTTACCGGAGGCCCAATTTCCCTCCCCTTCCCCAATCTCCCCAATCCCTGAATCCCCAACAATCCTCAAACTCCTAATCCACAAATAGCCGGTAACGCACTTGTAACGCCTCTGGTGTTCCAGGTGTCCATGGGCGACGCCGATTGCTTTCCATCAGGTGATCCG